CCCTCATGGTGAAAGCAGCAGGTGGAGCTGATTCACCTGGGAAAACTGCAGCCATCTCCCTTCTTGACTGTTTTGATCTGGAGGAGGAGCTAATCCTGGTTGTGGAAAGACCAGTCCCCTCCATGGATCTCCACAAGTACCGCAGGGCCAAGGGAGGCTACCTGCAAGAACACGAGGCTAAGGTACTGAAGCTAGGTGAAGGATGAAGAGTTAGGCTGCAGTCCCTTTATTATTTATTATTGCCATAATTTACATTGTGTAGTGATCACTCATTAATACGTCTATCTTGTTTGTTTAATCCGTATCGACACTGAGGTGTAAAAACACACTATGGTGTTCAGGGTGTATACACTGGGCTATTTCTTAGCCCACTAAGCTTACAAATTTTGCTGACGTGAACGTTTAACTTATTTCATACTACAATACACTACATATTTTTATACCTTCATGCCAGCGAAAGCCGTTGCTGGAGACATTATGTTTTTGGGTTGTCTGTTCATACATCCGTACATCTGTACGTCCGTACATCCATACATCCATCCCATTCTTGTGAACTCGATATGTCAGGAACGCTCTCAAGGAATTTCTTTAAATTTGGCAGAAACGTCTGGTGGTCAAAGGTCAAGGTCACTGTGTGTCAGCACCTTGCGTCAGTCTCATTCTTGTAAACGCAATGTCTTGAGAAGACCCTGAAGGAATTTCTTCAAATTTGAGTTACTTGGCCTCAAGAATGAACTGATTAGAATTTGGTGACATGAAATAAGTCAACATACACAAATCTTTGGGAGGATTTTTTGTTTTACAGTGGATCACCTCGCTGCCACTGAAACCACTGATCTCCCTAACTCCCTCTCTCTCTCTCTTGCTCCCCAGGCTGCAGAGGTTTCTTGCAGATGTGTCTGCAAAACGACCCTGAGATAATCACCGACAAGCCACCTGTTGTCAGCTCTGTCCCTCTCATGCATGGTTGGCCTCCTCGTCAAGGGCTCTGCTGGAACTGTGCTAACATTCTACATGTGCTTTTATTTATCTGTATATGTATATACAGTATATGCACCTAGGGCTTCTTCTCAGGAGAGAAGTTCGTAACGCAGCTACGCCTGGATGGTGTGTCGTGGGTGTGCTGCTGCCGTGGCCCTGCCTGATGCCTCCTATTGCTACTGATGTTGTCAGCTATTGTCACTACTGTCTGACCTGTTTCTTGCTCAGTCTCTGACTCTCGTTATGTATAATTTTGTCATATGGATTACTGTAAATGTATTATGTTGCTCTGTCCTGCTCCTGTCCGACATCTATTGCACATCTGTCGGTCCTGGAAGAGGGATCCCTCCTCAGTTTTTCCTCATCCGCTGTGAGGGTCTAAGGACAGAGGGATGTCATAACCTGTAAAGCCCTCTGAGGCAAATTGTGATTTTTATGTTTTTATGTTTTATGTTATTTATATCTATAATATATGTAATAAAATTCAAAAAAATGGAATATGTATATATGTGTGATGTATATATATATATATATATATATATATATTAAACATTTTATCTTTATATTTTTGTACTTGTATGTGTGATATGTATATTCATATTTGTCTGTGTATGATGACACCTTGGTTGGGAGAAAGGGCAATTTCATTCCCATGTACTCTGTATGTGGAAATGACCATAAAGTTGAACTTGACTTGACTTGATTTACTTAATCTTTTTATACAAAAAAAAAAAAAAACTGATTTGATGTAGGCCTATTACAACTGTCTCCATCCTACATCACTTCAGTGCAATCTTTGTATAGAATCAAAAGCAGATTAAAACATTACCAAGGCAGCCAACATGGGGATATGTTAGCAATATAAGCTCCACTTCCCATCTAACACACCATTCAGAACAATATCTGCATAGCAATAGTGGCGGGACATTACTCTGCTCTTGACCAGGAAATCACAGTGGATGGATTGGGAGAAGAGAACATGGTGGATAGATGCAGAGAAGATGAAGAGAGCATAGCGGATGGATATGGAGAAGAAAACAAGAATGTGGTGGATGGATACAGAGGAGGAGGAAAAGATAATGTTGAGAACAGACATATAGGAAAGGGCATGTCCCAGTGCATTCAATCTGCAAAACTTGCATTCAGGAAGAAACTGAAGTTGTTACGGGATCATTTTTATTTATCTGAAGACCTGGAGACTTTCGAAAGATCAACTGAAGTGCTGAAGAATCTAAGAAAATCCTTTGTATCAGTGCAGGAGAGAAAAAGTAAAGAAAAAAACATAAAAAGGTGAAGTAAAAATAAGGCATTCCTATAATTGTACATGATGCAAGCCATCGAGAAAGCACATCAGGCACACCACACTCTGTTTGCACACACAAGTTTTGAAGGCGTCCCCACATTTGATATAGGGTCTTCCAACTGTTTTGCAGCTTTAGATAAAGTTCTGTTTAGAGTGTTAACACCAAAGCAAAGTTCAGTTAACATGATTAAAAACTGGACCTTTACACAGTATCACTTTGTTTCAGTTTTAAAAGCAGGTGTGAGTGTGTTTGGATCATATATAAAGATAATAAAGATCTACTGTATATAGATTGTTTATATGTCTATGATTTTAATGAACACAAGACTGGTAAACAGCATGTGATCTGTCTCATGTAGGAGAAGTTTATGGTTTGACCACAAAATCCTTTGTGTAAGGCAATAAAATAATGGGATGAAACGGCTTTGCAACGCTTAGATCCACATATTTAATAGTTGGAACTGTCAAATCTGTACAAAAATAAATTACAAATGTAGAAAACTTTATGCACAAATGGCTAAACCTAAATTCCAAGAGGACATCATTGCTGATGTCAGTGCAACAGATATTGTTTTACAAATTAAATATAAAGTGATTACATCACATGTAATTTATTGTAGGCCTACTTTACCAATAAAAAAATCTGTCCTTACATATTTAATGCCATCACTGACCATATCAAATTCAATAAACATGTCTAGATTCTAAGCACTAAAAATGCTTCAGTGTATTATAATTACAATACATTTATAGGCACATAAAATATAAGAAGCGTTTTTCTCAGTAATATAACATCCACTTAAGTGACAACGTAGCACTGTTCTTCCTTTCCTTGAGAGGCTCAGCTCAGTCGTCCTCTGCAGCCACCATCCTCTCGATAGCCGCCCAGTCTATTTTACTGAGGTTGCTGCTGGCGGTGTCGGAAAGATTGTCCAGCCAGTCCATCGCTGACACACCAGCTGTGGCACCATCATCTTGCTCATTCAGCAGTCCAGCCAAAACCTGACAAGTGTACAGCAGTGTATGAAACTGGACATGAAACCAAATAATGTAGTTACAGTTCTCCCAGATGTAGGCTAATATGTGATGAATGTGAGTCTTACTATGTTCGACTCTGACTCCTCTGGGCCCAGCAGCCTATTCAATTCCGAGGTGGGCTCCCAAAGGTTCCCCTCTTCCCTCTCTTCCATCCTTGTCTGGTCCCTCAGGATCCCTCTCCCTGCAGTAGTCCCTGGTGAAAGACCTCTGTTCGGCCCTGTCTTTCTCTGGTGTCCGACACGCCTTTCCTCACTCTGGCTGGCTGTTTGCTGTTTAGTGTGGCTCTTTGTGTGTGTGAGCATGCCACGTCTGGTAAGCTGAGACAGTCGGTCCCTTGGCAGAGACGTAACTAACACAAAATTCACACAACATAAACAAGTTAAGTGAATTTAACATGGTTTGGACAGTAGAGTCAAAACACATCTACAGGCTCATCTCAGTGAGCAATGTAGTAAAATATAATAAATGATACCTGGTCTATGTAGTCCCAGTCTCCTGCGGTAATCCTCTGAAAGCAGTCCCTGTGTCTCAGCAGTCCATGGACGAAGGTGAGGTTGAGCTTGTCCTGACTTAAGACTTCTTTTATCATTAGCAGATACACTGTAAGCCCAATGAAAAGATATTACCTCCATCACCAAATCAGCCAATTCCAGATGTTTAGAATGAACACCCTGTACAAAATCTGATTAATGCCTTGTTCAGACGCTAGATCAGAGTGCAGTTACTATCTAACGAGAAAGATCCTGGTCAGATAACTGTTGCAGGGGATACCTGTGAGTGCTGCCAGAGGGTGGAGCAGAGTTGGGTCGTGTAGTTAAGAGTGCAGGTGAAACTTCAGTCTTTGAAGAAATGAGCAGGGTTGGAGGATTGGTGAGAAACTCACTGGCCAAAGAACAGGCCTCACGGGTCCTCTGGTTGTATTGCTCCAGAAGCATGAACCTATTACATCAAATGGAAATAAGAGTAATGCACATGCATGTTTATTGTGCACAGACAATGTAACAGTTACGTACTTTTCTTTTTCCTCCCTGGTTCTCCAAATGGTTGCTCGATTCTTGGTTGTTGGTTTCTGTGGAGGCACACAGAGGTAACGTCAACAACAATGTGGATAGAATATTTCAATAAGAGCATACAATGGATTATCAGTTCTAATAAAGAGGCAAACACATCTCACCACTTTTCCAGAGGTAGAAAAAGGTTTGTGTTCCCTCTCCCTCAGGCTCTCTCTGTGTTTCTGATAAACAGCCAGTCTTTCCCTCTGTTTCCTTCTCATCCAGATCCTCAGCTCTCTCCTCTCCTCCTCTGGAGGAGCACGTTTCTGCGACATCCAGCTACTCTGCTGCTGCTCCAGCCTGCTATGGGTCACATTACTCTCCAGCTCAGTCATAAATCATAGCTGTTTCAGTAGTCATTCGGACGAAATTTCAGTTGGTACCATACCTGCTATGTGGTGCAGTCTGTGAATTGGACAAATCCAGGTCAGTCGGGGATAAATAGCCTTCCCTCACCAACTCGTCTAGGATTTCGGCTGTATCGGATAACCCAGTCTGACACAGATTCTCATCTGCACGTCTAGAGATGGACAGGTAGAGAGAAGAGTATTGGGAAGTAGGAGAAGTTACAGTGAGGTTTGCACATCTACAACAGATAATGGGCGTCATAACACTTCTGATGTACTTAAACCTACTCAGGAGATATTCCAGATGCTTCAATCAGCTGATCTTTCATTTCTGTGGGAGCAACACAAACAGATGAAATAATTACTTTTAAAATTATGACTACTGAGAAAATATCCATGTATCTGACTATAAAAGAATAAAGTATGCGTCTGCATTTGCATTTTAATAATTATTCATCAACTAAGAAGTGCACTTTGCCAAGATACGTGGAAATTGTTTATGTAAGTAGAAATGTTTAGGAAGCGTTTAAGTAAATTGCATCCTTACTCTGAGGAGTGTGAAGGTAGGAAGGAATAGCATGGTGACCAGGCCTCCTTTCGTGAGCCCAGGAGTCGTTATGAACCTCATATTCTTCTTCCTGATTTTCCTCCTCCTCCTCCTCCTCCTCCTCACAGGTATCCAGGTGAGCTGAAGGGTTCAGTTGTGGTAACCATGCTGTTAGAGACAGAGAATATGCATGAATGTCTTATAGAGTTTTTTCAAACAATATTCAAGTTATTTATTATTCAATTAAACCTGCAACTTTGTTTTTTGTATCTAAATTTCGAGGACCTGCTTTGTAATTTAAAATGCAACATAAAGAGTTTTGGCTTTTATTACAGAAAAACAGTTTTACGTCATACCTTCCTGTGGAACAGACAGTCTGACAGTTTTTTTCCTCACATCAGGAGCCAAGACTGGTGTCAGCTTTTCAATAGTGTTCACCAGCTACATAAAGAACAATAAATTGCATTTTAATGTCAACTCTCAAAGACAATTTCTATATTTGGGTGTCACTACTAATAAAAATCAGGACAAATAATGAGAAGCAACATGCTTATATACCATCCTGGAGTTGGTAAAGTCCATTTCCAGATAGTCTGCAATGTTCTGTAGAGCAGTCAGCTGAGCGTCCAGCTCTGAAAGGCGGGAGGAGAACCAAACTGTAGGCGGTGTGGATGAGGCACTGTGAGGTTGAGTGCTCTGGGTTTTTATGGCTTGACAGATTTCAGAGTCAGGTTCATCTACCACATCTTGTGTAGTGATTCTCTGTGGATCCCTGTTAGGCTGAATGTGGCTGGCTGGCTCCTCTGGGATATCTAGAGTGTTCAGTACAACAGATATTTAGACCTCACTGTATTCAGTACAAAGTGATACCTGTATTAGACAATATAAAGACCTGTGTGTGGTCTCCAGTGGAAGTCCCCTGGAACTGTGACTGCTGGTTGTGGATCAGCAGCAGCAGAAGCACTCCTGATAACTGACGTCGCAAGTACATGAAGCTGAGCAGAGGTAGGTGAAGGATGGCGAAGGGGAGGTACATCTTGTGCTTCTGGGCTCAGACAGTGAGGCAAGTCCTGATGCAGGGCTTTGTCTTCTAGATCCAAGACACTTATGAACTGGCGGCCACCAGGACCCTGAGACAAAGACAGAGAAACAGAGAAAAGTGAAGTAAAATGTCCATCAATCAAAGTTAAATCCTGCTCAAATGCATGAATTGGAACATTAGGTATGGAAACTAGGTAACTACATGACAACAGCGCTCAAGAGGCAATGCTTTTAATTGTCATCAACTCAAGACAAGCACGTCATCAGTTAAAGCCACACCATGAAGTGAGTAGCCCTGTTGTATGGTGATGCAAATCCCTGCTGTGCTCGGCTGATGCGCCAAGCCAAACCGAGGCATGGAAAAGTGCTACTTGTATGTCTGGCCTCTTACCAGATTCTGCCCCGGCCCCTGTGGCGTTTCCTCTTTGTCTTGAACAAGGCGCTCTTTGAAAAACTGCAGATTCTCTGAGCTTTGTGCTGGGTGGAGAAAGCACACACATACACAAACACTCAATGTTTAACTCTTCATTATGTGCCCAACAAATAAAAAAAGCAGTGTGTTATCCTTGTTCCTGAGATATCAAATCCACTTACATTTAGGGCTACTAGCAGGCACGGAGGCAGACACAGCTTTATCCACGAGTGCGGGAGGACAAGCTAAAAGAAAAACAATCAACATGTTACTTGCTCAGAATCTAGAATATGGAAAACATGTATCTGAAACAACCCAGGCAAAACAGAGAAATTCAACTACAACTGTGTAATAATATTACAGCAGTCCAAAACTATTACAGTATCAACATGGCATAACTTGTAATGCAAACTATCTCACCTGGGTCTGTGTTAGTGAAAGCATCTTGGCACTCTGGGGGTCTTTTATGTGTGGAAGCAAAGGCATGGAGCTCAGCTGACGTGGACACGGCCCTGTCCAATAATCTCTGACCAGTCAGCAGAGAATCAAAGGACCCTGGGAGGCACAGATAAGAGGGAAAAAAACAATAGATCAATAGAATTATAATATTTCAAAGTGTCCGGTCATGACCTTAATTATACTGTATACTGACACCAACCAAATTGAGCAAAATTGGGAACATCCTGCTCAGGGGTGATCTCCTCTGCAGCTGCAGGTTCCTCGTTTACAGGCTCATTTGTTGGCTGGAGATATATTGGAACAAACAAATGACAGTGAAATTACACTTAAGGAGGAGTAGCAGCACAAAACACTTCTTATTAAAAGTAATACTGCTCTACCTCTTGTGTAGGGATAATAGACTCATCTGGTCTGAATGTGACCTCTGCTTTTCTTCCCCTCTCTGCCTTCTCCTCTCTCCTCTTCCGTCTATAAACAACACAGTGTATTGTGAGTAAAATTATCAGCTTAAAAAAAGAAAGTCAATAGCATGAAAACATAAATGTGATTGCCTCTTGCTGGAGTTTAAGGTGGGGGGAGTGGTAGCTCTTCTAGTGCTTTCAATAGGTGGGTCCACTCTGAGCAGCCGCAGTCGAGCCTCTTCAGTATTCTGCCTCCCCATCACTGAACTTGTCAACTCCTCCATGGACATGAGACGGGCCATTTGGCTTGAAGGAGCTGCCTCGGGTAACATCTGTGGCAGAGACAGATATATCTGTTTGTAAACTACAATGCAAGATTTTATGATACATCACTTTACAGTCTTGAAATAACGGAAGTGCTGCTTGCCATTTGTGGTCCAGGTTCTATATGCAGAAGCTTGATCATAGGTGCTTCTCCCCTCGGAGCTGCAATGACAGAAGAGGGCCTGAAGGAAGGTGCTATGGGTAGTTTGGGGAACGTGGTGTTGCTTTGTGGAGCAGGCTCGAAGCGCAGCAGACGAAGGCCCTCCATTGGTGCAGGTGTATGAGCAGGAGGAAGTAGGGTGAAGCTTCGCCCCCCGGACCTGTCTGAAATCTGACTCTTGGGTTGAGAGTTCATCGGAGTTGTATTAAAACTGAGTTGTCTTTTTAGCACTGAGACAGTTTGGTTGTGTTTTAGCTTATACTGATGGGATTCCACAGTTGCAGGGTTTGTCTTTTGAAGCACCTGGGGGCCTTGGGGATGGTGTGGCGCACTCTGCTGGGGCAATGGAGGACGGCGGAGCTGAAGTAACTTCAAGCCGAAGACCTGGGGAGCAGAGTCCCTTTGTATGCTGTCATTAGAGGGCAGTAATACGGGGGCACTGTGAATAGCGTGGCTGGTGTCAGTAGTGGCCAGAAGCCCCTGTGAAGGTGGGATCAACCTCCTGCTCTCCATAAACTGGATTTCTGGTGACACCGCCTGGACAGAAAGTGGCTGCATTTCCTGAAGAAGAAATAAAAGTTGTATTCAGCTTAGTTATTGTTTACATAGAAGCAAAATGTGACACAACCTGACAGAAAACTTGAGCAACATGTGATAACTTACACCTGCACTATTAGCAGTGGACGTGGTGTGATGCTGGACACCTGTTGGGGAGGTTTTCCCTGAGCTCTGGATGGCGGTCTGGTCTGTAAACATACACGCAGGGACCTGATGGGGCTGAAGGTTGTTGGATCTTGAACTTGGCACGAATGCTTGTGTCTGAGATAGCACTGGCATGTTGGCATTTGGTTGAGGGATGAAATTAGTCACGTAAGATGATGGCACATGAGGTTGTGAGGTGCTGATGTTAGACTGAGCCATGGAAGAGCTCTGCTGGGCAAGTTGAAGGTTAGAAAATGAAGCTCCCAAAACCTCCATCAGGCTCATGTAGTTGATATTCTGCAATGAAACAAAAACACTTCAGATCAAACTCAATCTTGAAAGTCACCTGACTCCAGACATTTTTGTGGTTAGTCTCTTCTTACCTGAACCAATCTGAATAAGTCTTCACCCAGACGCTGTTGCACTAGTGGAGTCTGAGCAGATAATGGCTGATTAGGGGCTGTGGAATCCGCAGGGGGGGCACCAGATGTGGAGCTTTGTGGCTGAGCACTTGGAGGATCCACAGGTGTGTCGGGGAGCAGCACTCCAGTGGAACCAGAAGGCTCCGCATGGACCTGTGCCTCAGGCTGTACAGTAGGAAGAGCTTGGGGCTCTGAGTGCAGGGGGGCTTGTAGGCTTTTAGAATCACTGTGGCTGAAACAACAAAACAAACAACAATGCTAATAAAGATTTTGTTTGTTTTGGCCTGAGGCTTGTAGAAATAACTCAGCAGGGATTGTGCTTCATTATATTTTTATAATGTCATAGTGTAATGTGGAAGAATATAAGTAAACAACAACTATTATTAACATTACATAACACAATAAGGCTAAAAATCTCAAAGAATTCTGCCATCATTTTGGCACTAACTTACGACACTAATGGAGAAAAGATGCAAAGTTATTAAGTTTACATTAAAAACTCACAGAGAGCTGGAACTGGACACGTCTTCAGCACTTTCTGAGAGGTCCAGGTCTGCGAGCTTTAAACTCTGCAAAGAACAAAAACAAGGTATTTGTGTTTTGACAAAGTTGACAGTATGTATGAAGAATGGGAATCCTGGAAGGTAATATTCACCGTTTCAGGTGTGCAGATGTTTCCAGAGATGTTCCCATTGGAAACAGAGGACGACACTTCCAAGCCATCACTCTCACTACTTTTGCCTACAAATATCAAACACATTAATTCACATTCTCTGCATTACAGCAACTTTGAGGATCCAATTTAACTTAGTGATATACCTTCTTTTTCAGGTGTAACATCCAAGTCATCAAGAGATGGTTGTTGTGAACTGGACTGTCTCTGCTGAGCATCAAAGGTCAGCTGATCCTGGTCGTTAGGGAGAGGTGTCCTGTGAAATGTCAGTTCCTCTGGTTCATCTGTAGAAGAACCACTGCAGGGAAACACAGTAAAAAATGTTTTGCTGCTACATTTTTGTTAAATCGCCATCAGTTGGTTGATGTATCTGAGCTAGATTTAGCCCAATATTAAACCACCATAAATAGGGCACTCACATGGACAGTTCTTGTTGTAGATTCTGATCAAGACCAATGATGGGAGTGTTGGCTGATCCAGGGTAGCCTGTATCGACACTGCTCTCTCTCTCCAGTTTCCTATCCACCTCAGGGCGCAGCATGGGAGCTACAGTCCACTGTGTTTCTGGAACTTGGATGTGAGCACTGTAGCGGTCTGTCCTGAGGAGAGCAGTGTACTTACGCTTCAGCAAGCTGAGGGAAGTGAGGACAGCAGGCGCAGAGGCTTTGACACGGATCACCACTCCTTCATCAGCTGTGCCTCCAACTCCTCCTCCCTTCTCTTTCTTCTTTTTGCCATGATGTCCTAGCAGCACCCTCCTATCAGCCCAGCGGACCATCCACTCCAGCAGCCTGCCAAGTTTTGGAAACTGAGCCTCTAGTTTAGGGTCTAGGCCCTGCTGAAGTTCAATCACGGCTTCAACAGAAGTTGAGGAGCCAAGTTTCAAGCTCTCTGATTGCTGCCCTGTGGTAATGGCACTTCGAATAGGACTAGTATCAGATCCATAGTGTCCCCCCTTCAGTCTTTGGCCTGAATGCACACTGCTTTGCTGTCGGAGCCCAAACAAACCTTTATGCCTGCCTGTGCTTAGCCCAGGAAGAGAACTGACAGAGAGGCTAGCTCTGGATATGGGTGCTTCACTCCAGATGGAGGACGTTTGCATATCAGTTGCTGCACCTTGTTTGACAGGCTTGTAGCAGTAGCCGGCTCTGAACACTGGAGGATCATTGCCCACGTGTTTTCTGGCTGGATGGTGCGCATCTCTTTGGCGGCGATGAATGGTTGTGAGCACATCAAAGGTGAGAGAATGCAACTCTCTCTCTCTCAGCTGGCAGGAGAAGCCCCTCAACAGAGGAAGTTCATTGCCTGAATCCCCTCCATCTGCACTGTCCTTCTCTAGCACATAGCTGAGGAAGAGCTCCAGGAAATTTAGATACTCATCATCTTCCAGCTCAAACTCCCAGGTGCCAACCACTGGTAAGGAGGGCTGCTCATTCTCCTCGGCGTCGTCTGGGTGACTCTCCTCCTTGATGACACTTTCAATCTTAACAGCAGTCTTCTTCGCATGTTCTCTGTCTCTTGCTGTTTTTGCTTTTTTGCCCCTGCTAAAAAACAACAACACAGAGCACAGAATAAGGCACAACACAGATACATGAAACCTCAATGTAATGGTATTGCAACTATTCCACGCTGGCTACCTTGTTGTGGCTCTGCTGTGCATTTCAGGAGAGACGGCCTCAGATGTATTATCCACTGTGTCTCCATCGCTGTAAACTGGGGGGAACCCAAAGTCAGTTAAGGTGCTGGTGCTCAGACTTGTACCCAGTGAGAATTGCTTCCACACAGCCATCCCGTGTTTGCTTCCCCTGTCTTCCTGTTCCTCCTCCTTCTCCCACAAATGGAGTTCAGGGGGTGCCAGATGCCTCGTCAAACGCCCAAGATGTTTTCTCCTCTGCCTGAATTTGTCTTGAATGACGATCATCATCAACTCGTTCACCTCCTCTTTTTCGCCCTCTAGAAGCAAATGCAATAACATAGATTGACATTTATAACATATGTTTAAGGAGTCGTGGACAATAAGTAAAATCAGCCTACATCCCTCACTTAAAGGAATACATCGAGTGTTGAGGATGGGTGCTACGCTTCGGTGACAACACTGTTCCGCCACCATGAGTCGGGAAAGCATTATAAGCACTAACCGCCGTACAAGCTTAGTGCAGAGCGGCGCCAATAAGCTAGCCAGTGGGATACACACACAGGGACTCGCATGCGAGGACTGTCCGTCTACTACCACAAAGAACAAAGAGCTGCAGAATACAACAGACAGCGGTAGCATGACTGCATTCTCTGCTCCGGAGGCCATAACTCTAGTGGTTTGCTGCAATATTAATGCTCTGAATGTCGCACACAGCTTCTTCAAAATAAAGAAATCAGTGTCTAAAAAGTGACATTTCTACAGTAGAAGTGCTGTACAGTGCTTCAAAGCAGTTATTATAAAACGGAAGTGTTCGTACCAAGGACATTGCATCGCCTCAGTCTCTGCAGCAGTGAGTTATACTTTTCTCTCAGAGCGACTCTTACAGACTCTTCCTCCTCTGGGAAGGCACGTACCAATGCATCTGCCACCTACAAATAGGAACAAGCAAGGATGAGAATTTTATTCACTCAAGGTCATTCTATTTCACTTCAATAAGCACTGTTTATGTAAGAAAAGGGCATGAAAAAATCACCAGAGAGAGGGGAGGAAGTTCAGACACAAGGCTGAGCAGTATGTCCTGGAGGATCTCCTCAGCGTTGAGAAAGCAAGAGAAAGGCAGGAAGCGACAGGCCCAGCGGAGAGCATCAACACAGGTAGCTCTCACTTCTGAACCACCAGGGATCTACGGGACACAAATACACACAGATATTTACAGGACCTAATGGGCATATTTATACATAAACATGTCATCAAACACAAATGGAATACCTGCTCATCTCCACCATGCTGTCTGGCTGCCTGATACTTCCTGCAGGAAATGGAGAGCTGGTCCCTGACATGAAGCATCCAGCATAAACCACACAGCTCCCTGAAACAGACTTGTAGGAAAAATATAGTCAATAAGCACTATTTGAAAGTACATCATTGATTATGATGACCAAAATTCACTATGAGTGGCGTCTTACTTATAGTTTGAATGGTGTCAGGGTCCAGGTGACCGTCTTTGTTAGGCCCCCGTCTGAAGAATCCGCTGCGGGTGACGAACTTCATCAGGCCCTCTGGGAAAGCCTTTTCTTCTTCAGTGGCTGATGGATAGGAGTACTTCTTCTTGATCTGAAAACATCATCAGATATTTGCACTACTTATTTCTTTTTTGCATGATAAACCAAAAAAAGTATGGTAAAATGAAAAACAGCATTTCTTCAGAAAAACTGGACTGTCGCCATCAAACTGTAAGCCATACTTGAGGACCTTCAATTTTCTTATTAAACCAAATCAAAACCCCATAGTCTTTTAAAGTACCTTGTATAGTACGTGTCTGGCACGACGCAGATTACTGATGTACCACTGAGCAGCAGGATGGCAACAATGTGCAGATCTCAGAAGTAACAGTAATCTCTGAAGAACTCCAGACACTTTGTGACGTGATGCAACCTCTGCAAACTGCCCCATTGTCCCTACTGGGTCCTGAACATGAGACACACACATTTAATGTTATAATTTACATGTTCATACTGTTTGTAAAAGCTGATCTGCTGTTACGTACCTGTGTGTTGGGGGAAGGCTGAGGGCAATAAAGAGGTGGCGAGGGCAGATACAGTCCATTGGGCACCAAGGCAGGCAGACAAGAACACAGGTCTTTGGCTGTGTCCAGCAAGGAAGACAAGGGTGATGACATAACATTCACTCCAGCCATGACTGAAGCCTTCAGAATCTCCTGTATGGAAACCTGTAACAAATCCCAGTCTTCTCCTTCCAAAGGGTCTGGTAAAAGAAGTGGAGACAAAGCACAGATTCCATTTAAACAGTGCTACATGCATTGTGGTCCTCTTACCATTGTCAGATCTCACCAACCTGTAAAGCTCTTGTCACCATCTTCATCTCTGTGCTCTTGGGAGTCAGACTTATTGCCAAGAAGACACTCCAACTCAGCCTGAAAAATGCTGTCTGGTTCTAAAGCTGTTGGGAGGTGGAGCTCTCTCCTCCTGAGCCTGTCATAAAAGATGTCATTGAGATGTGCGTGAAAACAAACATGGTAAAAGTTTGAAATTGAATTTATTCTAGTGAATATACTGTATGCTTTCAAACTGACTGAGTGAAGTCGAAGTGGTCGGCGCAGTAATTTGTATACGCCAAGCTCAGAGAGGCTGCTGTCTTCCAGTCCCCAAGATGATAAGCCAACCACACAGTCTCAGGAAGCAGACCCCCGAGCAGGAGCAGGTCCTGGGCGTAGTCCACTGTCCATACTTCTGACAGCTGCTGCTGTCGCACTGCCCTAGCCACCTCCTCCTGACACAGTGGCACCAAGCGCCCAACACTGGGGGCTGAAAAAGACCATATTACCTAATAGCAATAAAACTTAAAAAATATATATTTTTATCTAGCAAAAATTATAGAAACACACCATGAGGTAGATGTAGTGGAGGCAAGACGGTAACATGGTGAGGGGGCAGGATGTAGAGGGGTTGGTTGGTAAAGTAAGAGGCCATGAATCTCCCCAGGGTCTGAACCACAGCACAAGCTGTGTCACTGTGAAGGTCCATCGGCAGCCACGGGCAGGGAAGAGAGTCTGCTGCAGTGCAGGGCATAAAAGCAGAGCTTATAACTAACTACAGAGACTGAGAATGAGGTCATTTGTGATGAAGCACAGTGTGCTGCAGTAACTGTGTCAAACTACTGATCATCATGGAGCAAGATCTAAGTTTCTAGCAGCTGGATTATTTCATTCTTCTCAGAGTGATAAGTGCCAAAATGACGGACAACTCCCCCATTTACTACATTCATAATCCAGAGAGGTGTTGGAAATAGATTAACCAGATAAAGCACAAGAGAGGACATGTCTCTTTGTCCCCATAACAAAAAAATATTTTTGGCCACACAGCCTTTAAAGGGAGACATTCAAAGCTAACTCACCTCTACAAGACTGAGTAATTATGGACCATTGCTGACCTGTCATGTTGTCTTTCTGGTGTCCGGCCCTGTGCAGGATGAGACGGGCCATGTGGTCCCCTAACTCCTGAGCTTCTCTCAGACTGTACTGGGATAACAGACTGTATAGGAGTGCCAGACAAAGCCGTGTCTCCTTGAAAACGGCACGATCAGAGCCTAATGGAAAGATTTATGATTACTATTTCAGACTGATGATGAGCATGTGGTGTACTTAAATGAAAAAATGTAAGCAGTGGTTCTCACTTTTGTTACTCTCCTCACAAATTTGTGACCGCCATGTATCAGCACTTTTAGGGTACGAGCCAAACAGGAAAAGGTGTTCACCTGGGGGAGAGGAGGGAAATAGTAGATACATTCATGTTTAACTCTAAGTCTTTTTTTGACCTGAGCCACAGATACATTGTTTTGCATTCGGTTTGATTTGATTTAAACTCCCTAGTTTACTTCCTGTAGCTAGTACAATTATTAAAGTTAGATAATTAGTCCTTCTGCTACAGACCTGGGTAACTCAGCAGTGCAGGACCCTCCTCTAGCCTTTCTCCTGTAGCCTGCAAAGCTGTTTGGATCTGGGACATGATGACGGACAACTGCTGCTGTTCCTCCTCCCAGCCATCACAGCCTTGAAAGCTTTTCAGTTCCTCCATATACTGCAGGGTGATCTTGTAAACCCACTGCCACACTCCAAACAATCTGGTCAAAAAGGAAAATCATCAATCTTGTTGGACTTTGTGACAAATTTAAATTCCAGGCAAAACATGACATGCAATGACTAAGGTTGGTATCCACAGCAATAAATAATGGACAATTAAAAACACATAAAAAGCCAGAGAGATGGTCTGTACCTGCTAGACGGTCGCTGGGGAACAGATTGTGCCTGACGTACAAAACTGGACTTCTGTTCCTTCTCATGCTGTAACAGAGGCACACAGTGTGCATCGGAAGACCAGAGATGTGACTCCTTCTCTGCAGAGGACCAGACAGTTTTTTGCTGCAGGCTGTAGGTGTGATCAAGACAATCAGAGACCAGCTCCAAGACATGCAAGACGGACGAAAGACTATGAGAAGATAACTGACAGTGACCAGTCTGGTGGGACTCAGGGTGAGGGGTCAGCAGGAGGCGAATCAGCCGTTTACTGAGCTCCACCACCAGCCCCAGGCAACATGGCCCATCTGAGTGATTGCTATCCAAGGGAAGAAAAGACAGAAGGGCTTTAAGAAGGTGCAGCAGGCAAGGAGAAACCGAGATATTTGTCTTCCCTGTGTTCTCGGAGCTGGGGATCAGATGGAGTAGAGCAGCAAGTCGCACCACACAGTAGAGGGTGTGCTGTAGCAGACGAGTTCTGTTTTCCACAGCGTTTCCGAGAGACATGCCAAACGCCCAAGCTGTTAACAGCTTAGTCTGGATTTTTCCAAGTTCACGATAAAGACGAGGTGTCTTCCTCTCTGTATCACAAAAGTCCCTATCAAAATCTGGGCTAGTGTCGGTCCTTGTGTCCAGGGCGTGGAGCGTGTCAAACATTGAGGCAAACTCTAGACGTCCGCCATCCTCCATGTGAGAACCAGCAGGAGGTCCGTCTACATCTGAGTCATCCTCAAAGAAAGTCTGGGAAGCCACACAAACAAACAGCAGGTTAAAGACAGTTAACATAAGTAAAGTAAGCAACTAAGGGGCCTTTAACACCTAACTCATTTGGTCCGGACTTTTAGACTTTTCAGTTTGAGTCAAACCAAAATTACAAATGTTAAAAATCGCTTGGACCACATTCTGGACCAAAAGGCCAAATCTTGGTTTGACAAAAGCGGTGGTCTCAGTACAGATCAAACTGAACCTTGGTGGTGAACACATTTTTTGGATGGTTCCGACTTTGGGACCAGTAACAGGAAATTTTGGCAGGCTATCATCACGATAGGTTATCAGATGCACTATAGTAATTTGATAGTCATTGTTAGCAGTAATCTGGCATTAAAAATGTCCATATAGCAGAGAAAGCTGCTTTTTTTTACTGAGACAATGGGATATAAACTTTAAGACCGTGAGAATATGTCAGTGCTGTTACAAAAATATGGTTGGGATGGGTGAGAAACCTGATTTATAATCTGCTTTTTACCTTCATGTAAACGCAGCCACAGTCAGTGTATATAGTCCACCTACAAAACTTGAAATCTAAAGCTATACCTTTCTAGTTTACACTATTTGACTGACCTGTACTTTTTCAAGAAGCTCCTTGGTACCACCCAATGTCCCCTGATCCTGCAGGAAAGGTGGCAAAGTGGATCCATCTGTAGCTGCTGAAATGACAGAGTCTGCGGTGTTGGGCCCACATGTGACAAGGATGCTGTCAAGATTCAGGCAAGACAAGGACTCCAACCATGCCCTCGCATGTATCTGAAAATAAGAAAATGTAATGAGAAAACTGTATCGTCAAGAATAGCTCTGCAGAGAGTAGCTAAGTAAGATCCCTGTTCTAGAAGTCCCTGAGTTACCACCTGTGATTTATCCAGTATCCGACTGGCCTTCTCAAGGTCCTTGCTTGCGTCCTTTAGAAGTGTTTTCAGCAACAGGGCAGGAGAAGGCCTATCTTGCACCCTCATAACTGTGGCCATGTAGCCATCAGACACAATGAGGTACATTAGCCGTGGATGCCAGGTCACGGAATACCGCTGTCTCAGGACATCCCGCACAGACAAGCTAGAGCTGGACAGAGAGGGATCTGCTTTCCCTGCAGACATTGGTGCCCTGTAGAGGGAAAGTATCAGGAACATAATCAGTAGATTAATTTATAATGAAAATAATCATTAGTTACCACCCTAAATTATACATAATAAAATAGAACGTGTTTCACACTGGATTTGTACAACTCTTGGGACAACAGACAGGTGAGATGCAATGAATTGGCTCACATAGGGAAGAGTGTAAGTGAGGAAATCAATGGCAAAGATGACTGCAGATGAGAGAGGAGGAATAAGAATTAAGAAATATCAGCACAAATAAATCAATAAATTGTAACAAGGGCTCATGAGTGAGGCAAAATGTCTCAAATGTGTACCGGTAAGTGACGAGAGGGTGCAGGGGTAGGAAGTGTGCAGGCCCAAAGTCAACACTGCAACCACAGCTTGTTAGAGTGAGGAGCCTCCCAAGGCGAGCCAAGATAAGAAGGGAGCCTCTCTTAAGAACACAGGCCAGGAACAGACCGCCTGGTGACCAGCTCACACTGCCCACCCAGTAGGACCTTAAAGAGAAGATATGTAAAGTACATTGGTAAATAAATACACACTGTACATCAAAGATATGAAAGAGGTGCTAATGACATTCAGGTAAAGCAACACATCCTTTAGTGGCAATCATTCCCTGGTGGCTTATATTTAGACAGTCTGGAAATGGCGTGCTTAACGCAGACACACTGTTGACACTACTGTGTTTGTTTAGAGTAGTGAAGAATGAGTCATAAAGCTTCACCAGCAATATTTTAGACAGTGTGACTGAGCAGATGTTGACCCCAGGTTAAACCCTCACATTGGCTGATCACTGCATAACACCAACATGCTTTCTGTACCTTATGTATTTAGAGGGGATGTCCATTTTCTTGCTTCCACATCCTCCAAGGCCACTTGATATTGAGACAAAATTCTGTGTGCTCACAAAGAGGACCTGTGTGGCCTGCATTCAACAGGAAATACAAATCATGAGTCACATTTTCTAGAGATGGACAGACCTGCAAAAACATATAAAGATGTGAAAAAAGAAACAGATAGGCCTCACCTTTGGCTGTCTCTGGTTCAGGACTATGGCTAACAGTCGGCCATCTGGGGAGAAAGCTGGCACCAAGGCCCCTCTGGACTTCACTGGTTGGCAGGGCGGGGTGAGACGAGACATGGGGTATGTCTTGGTGGCCCACTGTATGCTGTATCCCACAGAGCTACAAAGAGAAATACGTACTTTTAACCACTGTAACACCCAGTGAGAGCCCTGCCTGTTATATAGACCTGCTCACTCACCCCGCTCTCATGTGGCCTTCTTCCCATTGAATTTTCAGGCAGGTGAGAACTAGCTTCTTCCCAGATGTGAAAACAAAGGCTGATAAGCAGGCATCACCCATAACCTGAGCGAGTTTGTGGAAAGATAAAATAAGATATAATATAATAAGAGTCATTTACTGAAACATATGTCAACATGTTAAATATGTATTCTATTCAGACCTCTGTCTTGATGAAGATGGTGTGTTGGGATGCTTCTTTGTCTTGCGAGGAAGGCAGAATGGAGTCTTCAAGGGGTTGTATATGTGCCCAGTGTCCCTTGACCGTGCCATCTCGTACCCCCGTCAAATCCCTGACATCCATACACTCCCACAGGAACACTTGCCCTGTTATGGCTACCACCAGTACACGCTTTCCATCCCCTGAAACTTGGAGTGACAGTCTTGTGGCATTCCCTGTGAAAACATACACACATAAATCCAAACACTTCCCCATCTTCCAGGTAACTTTACACATGTACATATACTGCACATACCTTGAACAGCATTGGTCATCTGAGCTACTTCTGGGACCGCTGCAGCAGTCTTCAACAAGTCTTTATCCCTGTTCCACAGAAACAGCTCTCCTGACACCAGAAGTCCACATAGCCACATACCTGGAAAAGGAAAAGAGACAACAAATGTACTCTCTGAAATGACAGCAGACTTGTGTTTTGCTTTGGGTTTGCACATTAAACTCACCATTGTGGGATGAAGCCATTGTCACCACACTGTTGAGCAAAGGATGGAGTTTAGGAGTCCTCTTCTTGGTGCGTCCAGACACCATGTTGATCTCACTGATCCGTTTGTCATCTAACAGGAACACAGACTCCTTCTCCTAAAGAGGGACATGACACAGGATCACAGTCGTGTTCCTCTGACAAGGGAGGCAAAGTTTCAGTGTCTCTGGCTGAAATGTTTGACAGTCCTCACCTTGCCAAGCCAACAGAATCGCGGCCATGGTTTCTTCCGTTTGATGCTGGATGACAAAACAACCTCCAGCTTTAGCTCCATGTTTAAAAGACAGCATCGGTGCCTACTCTTGGTTTTGGGAGGGTTTGCAGGATCTCACTAGACAAGCAAGACGTTTAAGGTTAGCAGACAAGCAACAATTTTACATGTTGCACTGTAAACAACATGATTAGCGACGCAGCTAGTAAGAAATATTACTCTTAATTGTGTATATGTTAACAGAAGAGTGACGTATACTGACAATGTCAAAGTACCGTGTTGTTAGCTGGTGTTATACATTGATTAAACCAACAAAAACCATCACCAATGTTAGCCATACCGTTAACTAGCATTAGCCACCTAGCTAATTTTGTTTACTGCGCGGAGCATTGGTTCCGACAAAAAGCCTTACCTGAGCACTCACACTACATTGGTTATAGTCAAATGTTGAAGGGCTCACATTTTTTGGTCGTGTAAATGTTAATATAACTACAGTATTACATGTTTTACCGCAGCTAATCATGAAATATTTCGAAACTCCCTCCGCTCCAGTAGCCAGAATTGTTTCCCATGATCCTCTAGGAGGAAGCTTCAAAGCGTTGCCGTAGGAACGCTGTAACCTAGTGATGTAGCCGACGCCCTGCGGGAAATAATGTGACCACAGACATAAAATGAAATAAAATACAATATTATTTACATGACTGTGGCCCAAACCCTTACAAAAAAAACAACAACTTTAATATTTTTAAACACAGACGTATTCATTTATTGTAGTTTACTGAGCGTGTTGTTTTCTGAGAACAGCTTTTCTGCTTCACTTCGCTTTCACTCCTCATTTTTGACTTTTAAATAAAGATGCAACCTCTCGACAGAGTACAGCGCTGTGTAAATGAGTGATGACACAGATTATGTAAACAGTGCAAATATAAGCGATCTTTTTTTATTATTATCATCATCTCTGGTATTTCTTGTTTGGAAATTGGAGTATTTAATTTCCTTTTTTTCTTCCTTGGTCTTTCGTAGGCAATTACTTATTTGAAGATTGTAATCCTTTCCTTTCTTTTTTGTTCTTTTTTTTCAATATTATATATCATATAATTATATAATATTGTGTGTATTTGTAAACTGCTGATAAGTACATACAACTTAATTTCAGTTTCACGAGCCATCAGGGTTTTTTTCCATCTCACCTGTGCATTTTCTTATGTTACTGTATTTTTTATTTCTTATCTTATTTTTTTTATTATTATTTATTTTCCCAGATTCCCTACAATATTCCAAATGAAGGGCTGGGTGTTTTTTTTTATCCTCCCAGAGAGTTTCAGAGCAAGGCCTTTCGAGACAACACTAGGATGGGTTGGCCTTAGATTGACCTAGCTAATGGACTATTCACATTGCCAATGTTAATGCATGTCAGGGTTTTTGTGAATGTATGTTTATGTGACCCATACTTAACCAGGTAAGTCCTATTTTGATCAACAATCTCTTTTCCAAGGGAGACCTGGCCAACACAGCAGCATAAAAAAGTTACAAACAACAATAACCACAATAAAACCCCAGAAGATAAACATTAATATGTCAAAATATTGAAACACCTATGTACAACGACAAGTACCAACTGATTATGAGAGCTGTGAAATAAAGGGAGAAAGACCACTTCTTGTAGTTTCCAATATTTTTGAAGGCTATTCCAAGTGAGGGGAACAGAGCACATTAAATCTTAATTTCCCAGCTCAGTCCTAGTGCAGTGCGCATGGAACAGACAACAAGACTAAATCTGGAGATCTCAGACTGTAACTACAGTCAGATCTCTATCAAAGTGCAAATGCATGAGTTTACCCAATATAGCTTTATAAATGAACAAATGCTGTCCAGCATTTGAACAAAGGACTATAATTGTGTGCTTTGTCATATTATGTTTCAGCAATTATGTTTGGGGATCTTCGTGTTTAATGCCCAATGCTTAATACTACAAAAAGACTGATAACACTCAACAAATTGCATTGCACATTCACAGGTGCCTCAGGGTATTTCTGCACAAGCATACATTTGCCAGCAGATGGCAACCCTACAACAGACACTACTGTAAGCACCCAGCATAGCAAAGTGCCTGAGTCCACATGAAAGCCAGTTCAGGCTAGAGCAGCAGAGATCACTGTGGTAGATAAACTATGGCATAAGAGGCTTTTTGTACTTTGCCTCTGGGCTGTTGCGGATATCTCTCCACAAGGTCAATTTTCTCAGAGGAACACGCAGGCCTATTAACTATCTGAATGTTTGTGTGCAGTAAGTGCTCCTCTTCACTATTAACATGCTTTGGGTTGTGTGAACTCTAGAGCAATAAGGTCTCTTATTGGCTTGTTACAGAGAGTTATTAGGTTTGCCCCCCCGGCCTCTGCTGGTATTTAATTACCCTTGCTTTCTCTCTCCTTTTCATCATGATGAAGACGACAGCAGCTGATAGGTGAAAGAGGAGACTTCACCAGGCCTTAATTGGTTCATTTGCTTCTGCCTGCCAAGCGCAGATGGAGCACTTTATTACTGTCACTGCCAGGTACATGCTGGAGAGCTTGACATCATATAAGGACATGATGACATGACCAAAACAGGATGATAATCAGGATGAGAGTTTGAGAAACAGTTACAGGCCCACAGACTTTGTGCATTCATAACATAAGCTCACCCATTATTTTGTGACCAGTTTGTTATATTGCCATACTGTTATCGTCATGCTTATGAGCTTATAATTCAAAAAAAAAAAATCTAGCTTGGTCCAGGGTTTCAATTGTATATACATTGTATGGTAGCTGTGATTGCATTGTGTGTCTGTTTGTACAAGTTTACAAATGTTTGCAGAAGTGCATAGACTAATCTACAACAGACAGACAGATGTGCAGAAAGAATCACTGATGCCAGCCTCCTCCACCCAGGACTGGCAGGTAACATCACTGCAGACCCTTCAGCCCCCTGGACACAACCTGTCTCAACCTCTCCTCTCTGGTGGGTGCTATAGAGCACTTTATGCCAACACAAGAGCAGCTCCTTCCCACAGGCCATCACTCTGATGAAAAATTTAATCAGTCATACACTGTCAATAACCCTGTAACACCAGACATCCTCTGCTCCTATTATAGACTATTATAGATCACATTTTTGCTAGACATATCATCTGTTACTGTCTATATAAATCCTGCATGCTGTACAGTATACAAACATGTGCATTATCATCCAGTGCATGTTTATATCCATTTAATATTAATTTATTTGCCCTGATTGTAAAGTATTGAATTGGATATAAACATCACATAAATATAATTTTTGTTGTCAGTTATTGGTGCTTTATATATATATTTACTAGTCCATACCCATTGAGTGCACAGTTGCCCATGTACAGTTTCACATGGTGTGTGTTTGGGATACAGGTCATAGGAAATTGCAGATTAAATAGTCAACTGAACCCATTAAGAAGAGCAATGTATTCAGACAGAGTTTTTGTGAATTTGATAGTATGATTGCTTTATTGAAAGTACAGTAGTATCATTGCCAATAGTGGGATAGTTAGTGGGCTAAAACTGTAAATTAGTAGTTGAGGTAGCACGTTGAAAGGCAAATACTTAAAGTTTTTATATGTTGTATTGACTTAAAAGTGGGGCGCACTGGTAGTTCACATGGGAAGGTGCGGCTAGCCCTTGTTGCAGCGGTGGGGGTTGGAATCTGGCCTTTGTTCTTTGCTGCATATCTTCCTTGCTCTCTCTCTCCCATCCTTCCTGTCATGCTTCACCGTCCTGTCAAATATAGGCAAAAAATGTCACCCCCCCACACCCCCCCAAACACACACACACACACACACACACAAAAAAAAAAAGAGGCGTCCTGCTCCACATATCTACCAAGTTTAGTAAAAATCGATATGGCGGTTAGGCCTAGATAAGAAATTAGCTCTCTAGCGCCCCCATTTTGTTTGATCAGGGTCAATAATGGAGGGGTCCCCTCAGATTATGTGTGGTCATATGCCTACAAAGTTGTGTGGTGATGGGTGAAACCCTTGAGATGTTATACACCTTTATGTGATGAGCCACGCCCTCTACAATATTCATTGCCTTATAGAAGCTCAGTTTTAATAAGTTTTCCAACTTTTGCCAAGAGGGAACTTTAGATATTGGCCCCTAGATTATGTTCACAGAGTTTCATGCAGATCGGTCAAACTTCCCAGGTAGAGATCGATTTTAAGTGTTTTTCAAAAAATTCAAAATGGCAGAAAATCTATATAACCTGAAGTTATGGGTTCTTGAGGCAGATTTGTTCCTCATGAAGAGAGGCATCTCTGTGCAAAGTTTCATGTCTGTACGACATACGGGGCATGAGATATGCCCATTCAAAGTTTGCATTTTCAATTGGTTGCTATAGCGCCCCCTTTGGCCAATTGATGTAATATTGCTTCATTCGCATCCTCCCATGACCCTCTACCACTGTGCCAAATTTCACATGGATTGACTCAGTCAGTGAGGAGAAAAACGTAGAACAGACACACTCACACACAGAGTTTTCGTCATTATATAGTAAGATATAATATTCATATAAACACCTATTCTTTCACATTCTTGTATACGTAATAGTCCTGTCAATGTTTCACCTTTATTTGTGCAGCTTTGTTGCCCTTCTTTCTGGCTGTTATGTCTATTTTTGTGTCAGTACACTGAGAGCAATGCAAAATGCCAAGTCAATTCCTTGTATGTGTGCATGAACTTGGCCGCTAAAGTGATTCTGATTCTGATAAACAGTATGTTCTTCTTGCAAAGTATCATATTGCTGAGATATTATAATCCCTTTACGTGTTTCATGATGTGACCTTAGTCTACAGTCCTGACTTTGGACATCTTCAGCAGTAAAATGTCTTTACACAGGAAAATATGGCATAACTGAGGACTATAAGTGTATGAATAAAATATTTATAAGCATTACTTGTTAACTCAGTAAGTGTATAAATCCTCTACTTGATTCTGACATTAAATCTCTCTGTGTCATACAACACCCATCAGGAGAGACGTAATAAAATTACCCTAAAATACCATTAGCTAATTGCATCACTAAATGGGAGTAAACAGTTTTTCCACACAAATCTTGTCTCAATTTGTTAATTACTGATCATAGCACACAAGCAGGTTACGACTAAAGGATGTCTGTAAATCTCCCAACACCCACTCTGCTTCAGAAAGAAAAGGAAAGGTCTACTCTGTAATTACTCTATAATTACTATTTATTTGAATGCTGCTTGCCTCTAAATAAAGCATGCCTGCACATAAGGTGGTGACAGTTGGGTTTGGATTTCTGAGTGATCCTCTTGCAAATTGAACAATCACTATGTGTGGATCGTAGAGTGTTTATCGTGTGTTTGACCACAAAGGATCAGTATGATGTTTGCATAATGCTCTTCAAGCACATGCTAACAGTGGACTCCGTTTAATTTCGATAGGCTGTACGGCCGTTACAACAGCATGCCATCAGCCGGAGAACAATAATCCATCTCCGTCTTTGGTGTTCAATATAGGGACATTAGTT